TTTGCCATACGCGGGCCTCTCACTGCTGTGGCCTCTCCCGCTGCGGAGCACAGGCTCCAGACGCGCAGGCCCAGCGGCCATGGCTCACGGGCCCAGCCGTTCCGCAGCACGTGGGATCTTCCCGGACCGGGGCTCAAACCCCTGTCCCCTGCATCGGCAGGCAGACTCCCAACCACTGCGCCACCAGGGAAGCCCTAGCTCACTTTTTGAATCAGTCCTGATATCACGCCAGAGGGCTTCCGAATTCCTTGGGATAGTCATCTAACATCCTCCATTCCAGTATTTTCCACTTTTATTTTAAAAAATAAATTTAATTTTTAAATTATTATTGTGATTATTTCAACAAAGGAAAACAAATGAAACAAAGTAAAAAGTGAATACCTTTCTTTCAGTTTTGTTAATAGTTTGATGTATATCCTTTTGGACTTTTCTCTATAGTTATGTATGGTTGAGTATAATTACCTTCTTTAAACAATGGGATTGTTATACCTACTGCTTTTTTCTGCCGGTCTGCAACTTTTCTGCTTAACAACGTATATGGTTTACCTGAATCTATTATCAGACCATTGATAGTTGCTTTCCATTATAATAGTTGCTTAGTTTTCTTTGTATGGATGTTGGTTTTCCTTGTGCACATGACCCGCATCCAGAGCTCTCCTGATGGGCCTTTCAATTGTTTTTTATATTTGTTTATAAACATTGTTGCACTGCTTTTCTGTGTTACTGTTTGTGAGTGTGTATATCTTTGCACACTCATGCAAGTATGTCTATAGAATAATTTCCCAGAAATAGGATTTCTGGGTCAGGGAGTATGTCATTAGAATTTTTGATAGCTATTGCCAAATTTCTCCCCAGAAAGTTCAAACCTATTAGACTTCTGACATTGAAAGTGCTTTTAACCATCTGTTAGTACCCTAAACTCCACGTCCCCTTTTTCCCCTCTGTCACCCTGACTGGAAAGGCCCTCACCGATGCCCATTTGCCCTGTGTTGCCATGGGGCATGTTGCCACCCATATCTCGTGTTTCTGATTTGAGCCAGGCCTCTTGTCTGTTCCTGACCAGTACTTTACCCATGTCCCATGCTGGTCATTCTAAACCTTTAACACTCGCTGTCAAACCTATGCCCAGCTCTGCTGCTTTCAGCTAATGATCCCCTCTTGCTTAGGGCATCTAAGGGATTGCCACATTCCCTTATGTCTCCTTCTTTAACCTCTTTCCTGGTCCCTCTTGTGGTGCCGCTGTCACCGCCTTCGTTGGACCCTCATCAGAGCTCACCTGTTTGCTGATGGGAGATGAGGTTATATGTCGAGGTCTCCCTGCCTCTGGTCTTGCACGCCGCAGTCACCCTTCATGTTGCCGCCAGCGTGATCTTTGCAGAATACAAATGTAGTCATATTGGTCTCAGTTTTGGAATATTTCAGTGGGAGATGCACAGATGCATTGCACTTTGCTCGGTTCGTGTTTTGGCCCTTTGGGCCCTTACCTTTCCTTCTAGTCTCTCCCCAGCCGCCACCCCAGCTGTCTCCAGCACGTTCTCTGCCCTCCCCCTGAAGTGCCTTCAGCCCTGCTCAGACCTCTGCTTTCTCAAAAGTCTTGCCTAAACTTTCTTCTGTGGCTAAATCCTTTCTCTTCTCTACCTGTAGTGCCTTGATTATATCTCTATTATAGCACTTGCCACCTGGCTGCAAAAAAATTGCATGTGTCCGTCTCTCCTGTTAAACTGTTTCCAAAGATTTATTCCTAGTACCTTTCACGAGGTCCTGAGATACAGTAGGTACTTAGTAATTGTTAATGAGCCTCAGCTTCCTCATGCCTAAAACAAGAGTTCATGACTTGCCCAAGGCTATCCAACTAGTAAGCTATGGAGTAGAAACTGCCAGATTCTGTCATCCCTACCCCTAAAGCATCTTCTGTTTGGAGATCAGTTGTAGGATCACATTTAGTGGAATATGAGTGTTGGAAGTGAAAGAAGTATCTGATTTGTTTAGATGGATGGCATTTTTAGCTCTTCCCAGCAGTTCTAAAAGCCTTTTCTCCCCCTTTCTCTGTCTAAGGTATACGGCTGGGGCTACAACGGCAATGGTCAGCTAGGCTTGGGAAACAACGGCAATCAGCTGACCCCCGTGAGAGTGGCAGCTTTGCACAGCGTTTGTGTGAACCAGGTACGGGTGGTGGACCCTTAGGTGCCCGTCCCCATCTATCTTCCCTGCTCTGACTTGGCAGAATATTTGCAGGCTCTTAGTTCCCCAACCAGGGATCGAACCCATGCCTCCTGCAGTGGAAGCGTGGGGTCCTAACCACTGGACCGCCAGGGAATTCCCAGAGATTTTAGTAAGTCTTTTTGAAGAGTACCCTGGGCCTTCACCTTCCACATTTAATATTATATCTTTCCTAAATTCTCATGATGGGAAGAAAAGACCATGGTGCTGGCATACGGGTCTTGATAAGTATTAAAAAAAAAAAAAAAAAAAAAAAAAAAAAAAAAAA